AGTGTTGAATATATGGCCTTTGCTGTACGCATGCGTATTTTACAGAGCACACTAGAGGCCATACAAGCAGAAGGAGCTCTTGTCACAGGATGAGGGTTTCGGCATTCGGCGTAGACATCGTAAATCTTCTGTGGTCGTGCAACCCCCTGCAGCAAGTGTTTGTGCAATGTTCGCCTCGTCGCACCATCTTGGTGAGAATGGCCGTTGTTGCACGCGTTGTAAGGGGTCGACCGCACTCGCATGTAAGAACGAGTGGCTGAGCTCACCGTGTTTCGACCTAATTAGTGTGGACGGCGTCATTTGTAGACCCCCTCCTGGGCAAAGGGTGCACATTATGGGGGGGTACGCTCATGGGTCTCACACTCTTCGGTATCACACGGGGCTGAGGTTGTGGTTCTGTTTCGTTTGCGGGAGTTATGCGGCTGAACAGCTGACACAGCTTGGCAAGGAATGCAGCACACGCCTCGACGGTAATCGAATCGATTACCGTAAGCGTATTCTCCAGGGGCTGTGGCCTAAGGTTTACAGCAAGAAGGAGCAGGCCAGAAGAGCCGGGAAGCAGCGGGATTAACCTGCTTCCACTCGTAACCGACATAGTCGCCATACCCGTAACTCCGTAACTCTTCCTCCTCCTCCTCCTCCTCCTCCTCCTCCTCCTCCTCCACTTCCTCCTCCTCCTCCTCCTCCTCCTTCTCCTTCTCCTCCTCCTCCTCCTCCTCCTCCTCCTCCTCCCTCCCTCCCTCCCTCCCTCCCTCCCTCCCTCCCTCCTCCCTCCTCCCCCCCGCCTCCCTCCTCCCTCCTCCCGCCTCCCGCCTCCGCCTCCGCCTCCTCTCCTCCTCCTCCTCTCCTCCTCCTCCTCCTCCTCCTCCTCCTCCTCCTCCTCCTCCTCCCCTCCTCCTCATCCCTCTTCTTCCTCCTCCTCCTCCTCCCCCTCCTCCTCCTCCTCCTCCTCCTCCTCTCCTCCTCCTCCTCCTCCTCCTCCTCCTCCTTCCTCCTCCTCCTCCTCCTCCTCCTCCTCCTCCTCCTCTCCTCCTCCTCCACTTCCTCCTCCTCCTCCTCCTCCTCCTCCCCTCCTCCTCCTCCTCCTCCTCCCTCCTCTCCCTCCTCCCTCCTCCCTCCCTCCCTCCCTCCCCTCCCTCCCTCCTCCCTCCCTCCCTCCTCCCTCCCTCCCTCCTCCCTCCTCCCTCCTCCCTCCTCCCTCCTCCCTCCTCCCTCCTCCTCCTCCCGCCTCCCCTCCTCCCGCCTCCGCCTCCGCCCTCCGCCTCCTCCTCCTCCTCCTCCTCCTCCTCCTCCTCCTCCTCCTCCTCCTCCTCCTCCTCCTCCCAGGAGAGCCAGGATCGAGTCGACGAGTCCGATCGGCGATCGAAATGCATCGGATCGGCGGATATAGGGGAACAAAAAAAGGTATACACATAAAAACTCTGAGGTCCGCTCAGATTTCTCGGATCGGCGCTGGAGCCCCCCGGCGGCGCCTCTGGCGCCGCCCCTGGCGCGCTCCGCCGATCCGAGAAATCCGCGCGGACCTCCGATTTGTTACGTTTGTGCCACTTTTGCTCCCCTAGGAGATCGCGAGCCGAGTCGGGAAAAGTCGCAACGGCGGAGGTCGGCAGGCCAGAGTGTGCCTCCGACAACAGGTCGGAGCCCAGAGCGGAATCCCAGGTCGAAGCGAATCGGGATCGGGGGCCATCGAACTCGAGCCGAATCGAATCGGAGGAGTCCACATGAGCCCTGTGCACAAGGACCGCGCACGTGCTCAGGTCGGACATGTCCTCATACAGGCGGATGTTGCACGAGAAGTGAAACACAGGTTTGAAACATGCCCCAAAATACCCCCAAAATTGTCAAAACAAAATCGTCCCCAGACGAATTTTTAACTATTCTTGGATATTCCTCCTGAAGAGGGACGTGCCCGACTTCAACGTGCACGCTCGTCCTGCCGCCCCGGGCCGGCACTGGCACGGGCCGAGGGCGCGACAGGACCGCTGGCGAGCGGGACTCCTGGCACACCGCACTGGGCCGCAGCCGCTGCGCGCGCCGTCCCCCATACGAGCAGGTCGGCCAGGTGCCGTGGCTGTCGTGCTGTTTCCTTCCCGTGCAGGCCGAAGGAGCCGCGCAGTCTGAGAGGGGGAGGGGGAGAAGAAGGGGGCAATTACAGTCGGGCTGCTGAAATTAGCCGGCCCACCGTCCCTGAGGCGTGCTAAGATCTCCGGTAACTGGTTAACAACAACTCTATACTTCGCGCGCGCGGAGCGGCCCCTGGGGGTCCCCGGCCGGAAAGTACCCTGGCAAGGTCCCGGGACACTCCTGGCAAACTCAGGTCAGAGATGGTTTTCCTCCTGGGTGCGGCCTTCCACGCTCCCTGGAGAGCGCCACGAGGGCCCCAACAGGCTTCCAAGACGATCTAAGAGGGTTCCGAATCACCGAACGATCGGCCCAAGACGCCCAACACGTCCTCAAGACGGCCCAAGAAGCTTCCAAGACGTCCCAAGAGAGCCCCGACCCTTTCCAAGAGAGCCCCAAGAGGCCAAATCCGAGCCTTCCGCTCCAAGAGGCCTCCTGGAGGCTCCAAGAGGCCCCCAAGAGGCCCCAACAGGCGACAAGGGGCCCGAAAAAGACCCCAAGAGGCTCGACAACGACTCCCGAGAGTCTCCAAGAAGCCCTCGAGAGGCATCCAACGAGATCCCAATGAACGTCCACGAAGCCTCAGAGCGCCAAAACCATTGATTTCCATTGGGTTTTTCAAGGTGTCTGGCTTCCTCGCCTTTTCGCGTTTCCGACGCTCCAAGACGGCCCAAGAAGCTTCCAAGACCACCCCAAGACGGCCCAAGAGGCCTCCAAGAGAGGCCCGCGACCGCCCAAGAGGGCCCCACGACAGCCCAAGAGGCGCCCAAGACGGTCCAAAGGACCCCAAGAGGGCCCGAGAGGCCCAACATGGAGACCACGAACCGAAAATCCGAAACTTCCGCTCCAAGAGGCCTCCTGGAGGCTCCAAGAGGCCCCCAAGAGGCCCCAACAGGCGACAAGGGGCCCGAAAAAGACCCCAAGAGGCTCGACAACGACCCCCGAGAGTCTCCAAGAAGCCCTCGAGAGGCATCCAACGAGATCCCAATGAACGTCCACGAAGCCTCAGAGCGCCAAAACCATTGATTTCCATTGGGTTTTTCAAGGTGTCTGGCTTCCTCGCCTTTTCGCGTTTCCGACGCTCCAAGACGGCCCAAGAAGCTTCCAAGACCACCCCAAGACGGCCCAAGAGGCCTCCAAGAGAGGCCCGCGACCGCCCAAGAGGGCCCCACGACAGCTCAAGAGGCGCCCAAGACGGTCCAAAGGACCCCAAGAGGGCCCGAGAGGCCCAACATGGAGACCACGAACCGAAAATCCGAAACTTCCGGTCCAAGAGGCCTCCTGGACGCCCCTAGAGGCTCCTAAGAGGCCCCAACAAGCGACAAGGGGCCCGAAGAATGCAACAAGGAAACTGCAGAATGTTGTCTTGTTCCCTGCGATCGTATTCACGAGCCGCCACCTTCCGAAACAGAAGGTTCAGGCGGGCAAGGCATGGTTCCCGCCTGCGAAATCACCCAAAGCCAGCCATCCATCAACAAAGAAACGACCCAGCATCACCCCATTGACAACGATCACACGGGCACTCGACAGCCGTGCACCAATACGGTGCCGGCGGAATGAGCGAAGCAATTAAACAAGGAACGCCTAATAAGGAACGAAGCCCCTTTGTGGCTTCGAACTGGGTGCACGAGAAGGGCAAGAGGAACAACCACGGAAGGACGTACGGAACATCGAGCCCCTTCCGAATCGAGAACTGTTCCTTGTTTCAGCGTCTGGGCTGTAAGACCAGGTCTGCCGGGGGAGCTGGAAGTCCGCCGACGGCGGCCGCTTGCGGGCTGGGGCCCACGGGCACGCAGGCACGGGGGGGGGGGGGGCACAGCTTGGGGATGGACAGACCCCCCTTTAATAAAACGTGGTTTAGTGAAAACGACCTGAGGCCCAAACCTGGCGGGCGCAAGCCTGGAAAATATCGGCCACGGCGCCCTCTCGAGAACCGAAAACGGACAATTCACTAATCGGCGTGTCACTATGGGGGGTTCTGTCCACCCCCGAACAGCGGTGCCGATGTCGCGGACTCCACGGGCCTCTCCCCAGGGTGCGCTATATGACTCCGGAACTTCGAGGCGAACGCGGCCGTGGCGACGAGGGCCCCCATATGAGGTGCCGTGGCCGTGTGGCAGCGGGCACAGGGGGGCCAGGGGAACGGGGGGAAGGCTTCTTGGAAGGAGGCTGCTGCTTCGAAGGCGCCGGGCCTGAATCTCTAGATGAGGCCCGCGCCTTCTAAGAAGCAGGGGTGCTTCTGGGAAGCCCTCCCCCATCCACCCACCCCCCTCTGCGCGCGCTGAGCTGTCGTGCCAGAGGCCTCCTGGAGGGGGTCCAAGTAGATGGGGTCGGAGGATCGCGCCGCATCGCCGATACATCGGCGATACATCGGCGACGTCTTCGTGGAGAAAATCGGGCTCCGCATCGAGCCGCATCGCCGATGCATGGGCGATGCGGTGCGATCCTCCGACCCCATCTGCTCCGACCCCATCTGGGAGGCCTAGACCCACCCACCCAACCTAATCGACTCATCGACGCTGAATCGGCGCTGCCTCATCCACTCCCAGACGCCGATCGGAGCTGGTTGACGCTGAAGCCGGAATGTTAAAAGGGTACGCCAGGCTCCCATGATTAGGTACCGAACCCAGGAGAGCCCAGAATCGACTCGAGAAGTCGGATCGGCGATCGAAATGAATCGGATCGGCGGAAATCGGCAGCCGAGTCGGGAAACGTCGAATCGGCAGGAATCGGCAGGCTAGTAGGCCTCCAGCAAGGAACCGGGATCCAAATCGGAATCCGAAGTCGAATCGAATCGCAATCGGAATCCATCGAAATCGAATCGAATCGAATCGGAGGAATCGAACTGAGCCCTGCGAACCCCCTCTGCGTGTGGCTGAGCTGTCGTGCTGCTTTCGGCTGCGCGCGCGGCCCCGCCCCAAAGGCGAGGGAACAGGTGCCCTCCTCGAGGGCGCCGCGGCGCGGGGGGTGGCGGGCCGCCGCCGCGGCCGCGCGCGCGCGCGCATGCGGGGATCAGTCCTGGAGCGCTCGGGCACGCGGGGAGGGGCCGAGGAGCGAGGAGGACGGGCAGTGGGCAGTGGGCAGTGGGCAGTGTCGGGGAGACGAACAGTGGGGGCCCGACCACAAGAAACCCTCCACCAGAAACCCAACCCTGAGACCCTAGGACGTCCATGGACTTCGGATGTGGGCACGTCACGCTTTCCATGGCAAAACCATCGAAACCCAAGAAACCCAGGGCACCCTGGAGGCAAGCAGGGTGTTTCTTGGCATGTGCCCCCACTATAAGACTCGGGTTGGGCTGGCGGGACTATCATGAAAACGACTAGACCCAATGTGAAATTTGACGCAAACTCCCGCTGCGGACCTCCCATGGAAACTGGACCATCCAAATCCAGGACGCGCTCGTCAAAAAGCGCCTGCAAACCCGAGCTTAAGGCGCACTTGAGTCTTACACTTTCCCGATACTGAAGCGAAAAAGAACTATAACAAACCACCATCTATACTACAATACTATACTAAACTCTACACTCTACACATACCCGAAGTCGGGAGCGGCCAAGAGGGGGGCGTCTTAGAGGGTGGGCACAAACCATGGCTGGCGGCACGTGCGCGGCCCAGCGGGGGGACAGGGACGTGCTGAAACAAGAAGAGGCGCCACGAACTCTGGGGAGATGTCATGCCCCCCGCCATGATATCCACCCCCCCTAGTCATTCCCCCCCCCTTTCGGGCGTTGGTAGAACTGAGTGTAGTGGAACCTGGTTTAGTGATCTGTACCGGGGGCGCCACCCCGTCCCATCTCCACTAAGCGGAACTGCCGTCACCCGAAAAGACACAAGCTACGGCAAACCTGGTTTAGTGATTCTGGCCAATTCAAAAGCTCCAGGGCCCCACCACTAACCGGGTCCTGGCCATACCCGACCCTCAGCCGCCCCCGACAAACCGCCACCTGCACTGTAATCCTGGGCCCTGCACGGGCCAGAAGGCCACACATCACACATCGGCTTCGCCCGCCGGGCCCCGCGGCGGCGGCGCCTCCGCGGCCCCGCTCGTGGAGCGATGCCGTCCCGGCCCGGGAGAGCCCCGCGAGCGCTCCAGGAAGGCCCCCGGAGCGCACCTCTGCAGCGCAAGAGCTCTCCCAGACGGCCCAGACAGGCCCCCACCAACCTCCACCAGGCTCCCAGATGGCCTCCAAGAGGGCCGCGAGGACGTAAAACGATCGATATCCGTTAGGTTTTTGATACCTCCTCTTACGGTCGCTCCTGCTGCTAAAAGACGCCCAACCCACCCCGAGGAGCCTCCAAATCGTTGGGAGGGCACCCAGGGAGCTCCCAAGAGAGTTCCTGCGACGGCCCCAGAGATCCCCAAGACAGTTCCGGGGACTCGCAAGACGGTCGAACAGCCTCCCAAGACGGCCCCAAGGGAGGCCCAAGGGGGCCACCTCTGGAGCGCTCCCCCCTCCCGATCCTCTCACGGCCAGCAAGCCCCAAGACGCGTTCCAAGACGACCACCAGGACACTCCCCAGAGGCAAGAGGACGACGCCGAAGCATCGCGGATCGCAGGCCCCGAACAGCGAATCACTTCGCGCCCCCGTGGAAGGCCCCTCTGCACGCCCGACCGCCCGACTGCCCGCCTGCCCGCTCACAACGACAGCCACACCCACACCCACACCCACACCCACACCCACACCCACACCCACACACACACACACACACACAACACACAACACACACACACACACACAACACACACACACAGAAACATCCACACCCAACACACACACAACACACACACACACAACACGACACGACACGACACGACACGGCACGGCGCGGCACGGCACGGCACGGCACACCACACCACAACGCAACACACACACACTTTCGCAGCGAAGCAGGGACGATCTGGACGCGCGCCGATACACACACACACAGACACACACACACACACACACACACACACTCAAACACACAAACACACACAGAGACACGCACACACACGCACGCACGCACCCACCCACACGACACACAACACACACACACACAAACACCCACACCCAACACACACACACACACAACATACACAACACACATACAACACACACAACACGACACGACACGACGCGACACGGCACATCACACACACACCACACCACACCACACACACACCACACCACTCCACACCACACCACAACACAACACAATACAACCCAACACAACGCAACACAACACAACACACACACACTTTCGCAACGCAACGGGGACGATCCGCACGCGCGCCGATACACACACACACACACGCACGCACGCACGCACGCACGCACGCACACACACAGACACACACACACACACACACACACACGCACGAACGCTCGCACGCACGCACGCACGCACCCACACACGACACCCAACACACACACACACACCACACACACAAACAACAACACCCAACACACACACACAACACACACAACACACAACACGACACGACACGACGCGACACGGCACACCACATCACACCACACCACACCACACAACACCACACACACACACGTACACACACACACACAAACACACACACACACACATACACACACACAAACACCCACACCCAACACACACACAACACACACACAACACACACAACACGACACGACACGACGCGACACGGCACACCACATCACACCACACCACACCACACCACACCACACACACACGTACACACACAAACACACACACACACACATACACACACACACACACACACACCGGTGGCGGGCCCTTCCGATGGTGCGGGGAACCTCGGTTTTGGCCCGTGCCTAGGGGCGGGGAAAGCACCCCGGTAGAAATGCCACCGACCCCAAGAAATTGGGGGGGGCACCTGGGGGTCCGTCCGTCGCATGTGGGTTCTCCCCCCCTATGTTTGTCCTCCTTTGTCCTCTGGCTCCTTTTCCTTTTCCTCCCTTCGTGCTCCTCCTCCTCTCCCCTCCTCTGGCCTGGGGGGGGGGCTCGCCGTGCTGCGGATGCCTCGCAAGCCCTGGGTTTGCCTCGCTGGCGGCATTGTGCTGTCGGCGCGGCCCTGAAGTGCGATCGGCTGTGTCTGAAGCCTGCGGGTGCAAGCCGCTGCGTAGCGTACCCCCTCTCGGCGCTGCCCCTCGGGAGGCGTACGGTCCCCACTCGGTGCCCTCATGCCCCGAAGCGCCCCCCGACGGTGCATGGGATGGGGCACAGCCCCGAAGCGCGGCCGTCCAGGCCCAACCTCAACAGAGCGGGCGTGGCCGTGTGGGCCGACCCTGGCGCCATTTTCGGCGTGCGCGTGTGTGCGTTCGGCATGTTTGCCACTGTTGTCGCAGCTCATGGTCGGTCGGTTTGTGCCGTCAGGCAACGGTGCCTTGGTAGTCACACACACACACACATTCTGGCAGGAGCAGCGTCGCGCGCACCGACGTTGCGGAGTAACTAGAGGCACGAAACGCGCGGCCGCGGCGAGGCCTGAAAAAATCGTTCAGGATTCGGCGCACGTGCCGCCATCCGCCATCACCCATTTGGGCGTAATCACAAGGAGCCGACGCGCCTGCTGAGGGCCCTGCCCGTAACACCGGCATGAGCAGAGGAGGTGCACCAGCACATCCGGGCGTGGATGGCAGGGAGGGACGCCTACCGGGGGACGTGCCCGAGGCGCCAGATGAACAAAGTCTGGCGACAAACCGCGAAAAGGCGCACAACGGGAGCGCACGAAACCGGCGATCCGCAGCCCCGCAGGGAGCCGCGAGGTCTCGGCTAGCCCGCGTGAACCTCCACTCCGCTGGAACTTCCAGGCTCCCAAACGCCCGCGAAAATGGCGACAATTGCGCGGTCCGCAGCCCCGCGAGGAGCCGCGAAGTATCAGCAGATCCGCGTGGACTTCTACCCCGCTGGACCTCGCAGGAGCCCACGAAAGCGTCGACACTTGCGCGGCTCGCAGCCCCGCAGGGCCCGCGAGGTCTCGACCAGGGAAAGAACCACTAAACAGGAAAGAGAGGGGGGCGGGGAGTAGACGAACGGGAGGCGGTGAGGGGGGAGGAGCCATGGAGCCAAGGAGAACAGAGACGCGAACCCGCGCGAGAGGGCTGCCTCACGAAGAGTACTGCCTCATCGCAAACAGAACGGGCCGCCCTCCACCCACGCACGGGGAGACCTCCCTCCTCACGCGCAGGGGAAGCCGCTCGTTCATCGGCGAGGAACTCACACAACACGGTCGAGATACAGGTCAGCGCCTTGTCGCCCCGCGACTCGCTACTCATACGTGATGGCGGTGGTGCGTATGGGGACGGTCGGTTCAGCTCCTCACTGCGAGGTCCTTCCCGACTATCAACCCCTGCCAACAAATATGGCACGTGCAACTGGGTTGGTACCCTAGGGCGAATAGGCACGAAGGCCCCATGGGACTTATGGACCACACGGCCCCACCAATCCACCAAATGCACGATCCAGAGGCTGGAAGCTCCAGGTGACTCCAGCGTCACGGGCGCCGCTGAGCGCTACGGCTCTGGGCAAGGTGCCGCGGGGCCGGACCGAAAAAGACGAGCCAGCATGCTGACGCCAAACCGTGAAGCGCACATGACATTGTCAGTGTCCCCGCGGCGCAGGGCCGAACACCAGGATACGGTATACCCAGCAGAGCAGTAATTGCCCCCCCCGCCGCGGGGAGGGAGGACGGAGGAGGAGGAGGAAAACAAAAAGAAAATGGGGCCCACACTTCTCAAGTCAAAAACGAGATCCAAACCAAGGGAAGGTTGGGAAAGAGGAGCGAGAACACAACGCAGGAGAGCTGGGAATAAAGCAGGAGACAAAAGAAGGGAGGCGGGAGGAAGGAGCACCGCGCAAGCAGTGCTCCATTCAGCCCCTCATGCAACGCCAGCAGGAGGAAGGAGAGACGGGAGGAGGAGGAGGAGGAGGAGGAGGAGGAGGAGGAGGACAGAGGGGAGATGAGGGAGGAGGGAGGAGGGGGGGGAAGGAGAAGGTGGAGACCACAGCGCTCTGTTCAAAGCGAGCACCCAACACAGGAGGGCTGGGGGAAAAATGCATGCACCACGCGCACGCGCCAGGAGCACGTTGGCCCACCATCCGCGCACGCACTCTCACGTGTGTGAGACCCGACGTGCCCAAAAGGGGGTCCCCCCTAGTGGCCGTGCGCCCGCGCCAGGCGCATGTTCCCCCCCCCCCCCCCCCGCGCACGTATCTTCACATGCAAAGAACCTGGCGGGTCCAGAGTGGGTCCCCCCCTCCGCGCACGCAACTTCCCTTGTAAAGAATCCCACGGGGGCCGCGGACACGTGAAAATACGTCCCCCGCGCGCGCGCGCGCCAGGCGCATATTGAGCCCCCCTCTGCGCAGGTACTTTCACGTGTGGGGAATCCGGCGGGCTCAAGCTTGATCCCTCGCTGGGGGCCGTGGACGCATGAAAATTCGCCACCCGCGCGCAGGTGTCAGGCGCATGATGGGTTCCCCCTGGGCCCAATGTGGACCTCCCCTGGGGGCCGTGGACACGTGGAAATAAGTGCGCCGCGCGCACGCGCCAGGCGCATGTTGGGTAGGCCCACCGCGCAAGTATTTCTATCGGGGCCGTGGAGACGTGAAAGTACATGCCCCGCGCGCGCGCCAGGCGCATGTTGGGTCCTCCCCCCGACGCATGTGTTGTTTCTGTAAAACAGCCGGCGGGTTCAAGTTTGGTCCCTCGCTGTGCCCCGCACGCACGCGCCAGTCGCATGTTGGGCCCCCCTCCGAGCACATATTTTCACGCGCAAGGAAACTGGCGCGCCCAAATTGGGTCGCCCCATGGGGGCCATGGACACATGAAAATAGGTGCCCCGCGCGCACGCGCCGGGCGAATGTTGGGTCCCCCCCTCCGCGCATGTATTTTTGTAGGGGCCGTGGAAACGTAATGATATGCCCCGCGCGCACGCGCCAAGCGCATGTTGGCCCCCCCTCCGCACACACATTTTCATGTACTTATGAAGACTCTGGCGGGCAAGTTGTGTCCCTCGCTTGCGGCGTCGTCGTGGCCAGAAGCTAATCAAAACACTTTCCTAACACACGCATGCCAGGACTCATGTTGGAGACCTCTCCCATCCGCAAAGGTATCTTCACGTGTCCAAGTCCGGCGCCGCTGATCGACACCCTTCTGGTGGACGGCCATTGTTTGGCCGCAAACTATAAGAGAACCCTGCCGGGACGGAGCCGAATAAACTGCGAAATCTGATCCGATCGGAAGCATATCGCATCGACAGCGAATCGTCCCGAATCAAATCGAAATCGGATCGCCCAGCACGGCTCCCACTGACCCCAGCCGATGCCAACAAACCGAGCAGTATCGAATCGAATCGGAATCGCGGCCCTAGCCAGCGAATCGAATCCCATCGACTCGGGTCGCGGGCGGCTCTGCCTGCGCCGGAGCACTCACAGGGCAACGAAGCCAAACAGCGCAGCCGGGGCCTCCAGAAGCTCCCTGGGCGGCGCAGCACAACCCCAAGGGAGCCCCAAGAGAGCCCCAGGAGGGGGCAAGGACAGCCCAAGTTAAGGTGCTCCAGGATGGCCCAGGAGGGTCCAGAAAAGCCCCCAAGGCAGCGCCAAGAAAGCCCCGAGAGACTCCCCAGACGGCCGAGAAGGGCCCCAACACGGAACAAGACCGCGCCAAGACTGCCAGAGAGGATCACCCAAGGGGCCCCCAAGACGACCCCGCCAGGAGGGCCCCAAAAAGGGCCCCGCAGAAGCCAAGCTCCTCCTCCTCCTCATCCTCCTCCTCGTCCTCATCCTCCTTTTCCTTCTCCTCCTCCACCTCCTTCTTCTCCTCCACCTCCTTTTCCATCTCTTCCTCCTCCACCTCCTTTTCCTTTTCCTTGTCCTTTTCCTCCTCCTCCTCCTCCTCCTCCTCCTCCTCCTCCGCCTCCGCCTCCTCGGCCTCATCCGCCTCCTCCGCCTCCTCCGCCTCCTCCGCCTCCTCCGCCTCCTCCCTCCTCCTCCTCCTCCCTCCTCCTCCTCCTCCTCCTCCTCCTCCTCCTCCTCCCTCCTCCTCCCTCCTCCTCCTCCTCCTCCTCCTCCGCCTCCGCCTCCGCCTCCTCCTCCTCCTCCTCCTCCTCCTCCTCCGCCGCCTCCGCCTCCGCCTCCGCCTCCCTCCTCCTCCTCCTCCTCCTCCTCCTCCTCCTCCTCCTCCTCCCTCCCTCCTCCTCCTCCTCCTCCGCCTCCGCCTCCGCCTCCGCCTCCTCCTCCGCCCTCCCCCTCCTCCTCCTCCTCCTCCTCCTCCTCCTCCTCCTCCTCCTCCTCCTCCTCCCTCCTCCTCCCTCCTCCTCCCTCCTCCTCCCTCCTCTCCTCCTCTCCTCCTCCTCTCCTCCCTCCTCCTCCTCCTCCTCCTCCTCCTCCTCCCTCCCCTCCTCCTCCTCCTCCCTCCTCCTTCCCTCCTCCTCCTCCCTCCTCCCTCCTCCCTCCTCCCTCCTCCTCCTCCTCCTCCCTCCTCCCTCCTCCCTCCCTCCTCCTCCTCCCTCCTCCTCCCCCTCCTCCTCCTCCTCCTCCTCCTCTCCTCCTCCCTCCTCCTCCCTCCTCCTCCCTCCTCCCTCCTCCTCCTCCTCCTCCTCCTCCTCCTCCTCCTCCTCCTCCTCCTCCTCCTCCTCCTCCTCCTCTCCTCCTCCTCCTCCTCCCTCCTCCTCCCCCCCTCCTCCCCCCTCCCCCTCCCCCTCCCCCTCCCTCCTTTTCCTCCTCCTCCCTCTCCTTATCCTCCTCCTCCTCCTCCTCCTCCTACCTCTCCGTATCCTCCTCCTCCTCCTCCTCCTCCATTTGTTCCTCCTCCTCCTCCTCCCCCTCCTCCTCCTCCTTTCTCCACGGCCCAGACAAGAGGTATCATGTTGCGGCCTCCTGGGCGATGCTCGAAGCGTCGCCAGACGGAGCGCTGCACTGACACGGAGACGAAACTTTCCGCAAGCCGCTGGAGGCTGGGTAGGAAACCGCTGTCCGTGGGGGGCGCGGGGAGGTCGGGGGGCAAGAGGGGGTAGGCTCGGGGCGCGTCGGGGGGCGGGCAAGGGGCGTCGGACAGGTTGGCACGGGGGTGGTGCTTATTGAAGGATGTGGAGTAAGCGTTCTGACCAGGATTCATCAGAATGCCGAGGCGAATCCAGCTGTGGCGACGAAGACGCCCTCGGGAGGCCCAAGAAGGCCAGACCGAGGGACAAAGACTGGTATCGGTATGTGGGAGAGCGTGATCCACCGCCGCTTTACTGTGGAAAATTCCCCCCCTCTTCCTCCGAAACCCGGGGGTCCACCCCCCTCCGAAAATCCCCCACCCCCTGCTGGACCCCCCCCCCTCCCCCAGCAAAACCCCCCGCCTCCCCTAACCCCCACCCCTCCCCCTCGAAAACGGGGGGGTGTCACTACCGGTTCGAACCCCCTCCCCTCGAAAACCGGAGGGGGGGTCACTACCGGTTCGAACCCCTCCCCACCTCCCCCCCTCACCGCCAGCAAACGACTCCCGGTCCCTTCCACCGTCCGCACCACATCCCCCACTGTTGTTCCCAGCACCACTGTCCTCACCACCAGTCCCCGCTGGTTCCACCACCGTCCCTACTGTCCCCACCAATGCCCCCACCACTGTCGCACGTCCCCACTGTCCCCACCACTGTTCCCGCCACAGTTCCACTCTCCCCACTTTCTCCACGGCCCCAACCACTGCCCGACTATCCCCATCCCCACTGTCCCACTGACTCCTCCGCTGTCCCACTGAGCTGTCCCACTGTTCCCACCACCGTCCCCACTGTCCCCACCACTGTCCCCACTGTACCTCTGTCCCATTTTCCCACCGCCGTCTTCGCCACCGCCTTCACCACTCTCCCTAGCACCACTGTACCCTCCACTGTCCCAGTGTTTCCACCACATTCCCACTGTCCCCACACCACTGTCCCCACCACCACCGTCCCCACCACTGTCCCACTGTCACCACTGTTCCCACGATTGTCCTCACCACTGTCCCCACCACTACCGTCCCCACCACCACTGTCCCACTGTCCCCACCACTGTCCCGCTGTCCCCTCACCACTGTCCCCACCACCACCGTCCCCACCACTGTCCGCACCCCCCCCCGGTTTTCGAGGGGGGGGGGTTCGAACCGGTAATGACCCCCCCCCAGTTTCCGAGGGAGAGGGCGGGGGGGTTCGAACCGGTAGTGACCCCCCCCTTTTCATGATGGACTGGGGGGGGGAGGGGTTCGAACCGTAGTGACCCTCCCCCCCGGTTTTCCGGGGGGGGGGGGGGGAGGGGTTCGAACCAGTAGTGACCCCCAGTTTTCCGCCAGCAGCGGTAGAACACGCTCTTTCCGGTATGTGCTTCGCCGCTGACACAGAGGAAGGTGGTTGTAGTGCTAGGTCGAGCATATCCCCCTACAGGCGGATTTTGGACGATAAACAAAAAATCCAAACATATAGTCAAAACATACTTACAAAATAATCGAAAAATCGTCCCGAAACTGTTTAGCTATGTTTGAAGCTTACTCCTCTAGAGGGACAGGCCGGACTTCATTGTAGTGATGTCCAGACACAGAGGCTCACACAGGAAAAGCACGTGCGAATATGAGCTGAAGAGCTGAAGAGCATCCGTGTCCTCGAGCTCGTGCGTGGGGGTGAAGCGCCACAGGGTCGGGCTCTCCGAGTCCTGGCGTGGCACAGATCCCCTCCTCCTCCTCCTCCTCCTCCTCCTCCTCCTCCTCCTCATCGTCTGCCTCATTTTCATCATCATCTGCATGGTAACGACGTCAACGCCTCAGCCAGGAAGAGCGCGATGAGCAGGAGCACGACCTGCACGAACCCGTTTGCGACGCACGTGGCTGAGCGAGACACTCCAGCACGAAGAAACCGTCCATCACACGCAGCAACGCCATAAAAATCATTGAAGGGGCCCTGGGACACACAAATGAATACACACAAATAAAAATATTCCCCATACTTTCCCATATTTTCTGGGTTCTTGTCTTCCCCCCCACTTCCCATATTTTCCCATATCTTCCGGGGGATCGACGATTAATTGTGTCTGTGCATTTTTCCCCTCCTAGATTAGAACATGTAAGACAACGGCAAACAAAAAAACTTGTGGGGTTCCGCGCGGATTTCTTGGATCTGCGCTGGGTCCCTCTCCCCAGCGCGCGGAGCGCGCCAGGGGCGGCGCCAGGGGCGGCGCCGGGAGTGCCCAGCGCGGGTCCAAGAGATCCGCGAGGAGCGCCAAAAGTTTGTTCATGGCGCTTTTCCTTCTTCGATCCTAGATCAGCGCGGATCCAAGAGATAGTTTATGCTTGTGGCGTTTTTTCCTCTCCGATCCTGGATCCTCCACATATTCTGCCCTCATCCCTGATCACAATCATCCACGGTTCATTCAGGCGTTCAGCTCCTCCTCACGTCGCCCTCTTCCCCCCCTCCTGTGCCACCGCGCGGCACCGCAGCTCGTGGCCACGGGGGATGCAGGCACGCCGACAATTGCAGTCAGCCCGTCGCAGAAGGAGGCGCGGTAAGGATGCAAGGGCCCTGGAGGGCCACGTTGGCGTTTCTCGAAGGAGGTTGGCCAGCGAGAGGCGCTCAGGATAGGCCGGAAGGGCAAGGATGCATGGGTACCCTTGGGAAGGTTGCCCATCCTTACTGTGCGTCCAACACTCTGCAAAAGCCTCCTGGGATCCGAAATTGTTGGATGCGTGGGCCCCCAGGCCTCCCGAACACTTCGCCAGGGCCGGCCTGTCCACCCCGAGCCTTCTTGCTGAACGGCCCCGCGGGGCCAAAACACGACAAGCTGGCCGCCTCGCTTTGCTCGGGGTGCCAGATGCCTTGGTCCATCGCTCCATCGTCACTCCACCCCCTCTTACACGGCGGTGGACGAACCTCCCTTTAATAAGCCACCCTTTAGTGAAAACGGCCCAGGTCCTGGGACCGAAACCGACGGACCTGGACCCGCAAAAATGACGGCCGCGACGCCCTCTTGCGAACCGAACACGGCCAATTCGCTCATCGGCGTGTCAGGGTAGGAGGTCTATCAACCTTCGAAGAAAGTCCTCCATCGCAAAGATGGACTCCCTGCCGGCGCAGATCGACGCCCACGCGCCGACACCCTTGGGCTTCGGCAGCCTGGGGCGTGCAACAGTTGAGGGTGAGGAAGCGCGGGGGGCGGGCCGGGTCGCAGAGAGGAAGGGAAAGAGGGAAAAAGAGAGACTAGAGACTCAGGCTTTGCCGTCGGCGAGTGGCACGCACTGGCTTCAACGTAATCCGCGGACCCGCCAGTGGCGTCCGTAGTGCTCAGATTTGACGTATGCTAGGAATTCTGGGTCTAATGCCGACCACTGCTCCTTGTTCGTCGCAATGCGTATCCCCTTTTGATTTGTAGTCGTCGTCGCCGTCGTGCGCATTGGACGTGGTGCGAAGGTACTTGGCGATTCCGTCGCCCAATTTATCCCGTCGCCCCATTCATCGCGTAAGTTCGCGCGAGTCGCGGGCGTTTGGCGCCGAGTGGGCAGACAGCAAAGTGCTCCTACCTTGAATGCGGGCTGCGACATTTTCCGTACTGCGACATGTTCCGTAGGCCACTCGTTAATTCGCGCACGCCTGACATTCTCCAGGGGTGGGTGCGCATGTACATACGAACAGAGTCTTCCCATGACTCTAGCCCGTCGCTCTCTTTCCTGTCGGTGCTGTCGCGTCTACCAGCATTAGTGGCGCCGCCGTGTTTTACTACTACTACGACTACGACTACGACTACGACTACGACTACGACTACTACTACTACTACTACTACTACTACTACTACTACTACTACGACTACTACTACTACTACTACTACTACTACTACGACTACTACTATTACTACTACTACTCCACTAATATACTACTACTACTACTACTACGACTACTACGACTACTAAAGCACTACTACTACTACTAAACTACTACCACTACTACTACGACCTAACTACTACTAGACCACCCCCACCACCACTCACCACCACCACCAACCCACTAACTACTACTACGACACTAACTACTACTTACTACTGACTACTACTGCTACTACGACAACGACTGCGGAATACTACTGACGACTACTACACTACTACTCCTATTACTACTACTACTACTACTA